TACAGGTGTGTGTGTGAGGGAAAGTGGGAGCCAGTACACTCTGATACAGGTGTGTGTGTGAGGGAAAGTGGAAGCCAGTACATGCAGGGAGCCAGCTTTTAAGCCAGTTCTCCATGCATGCTGGCTCTGTGGAGACGCCTTGTCTCTGTTACAGGAGGGAGTCAGTGCTCGGGGTAGCTGGTTTAAAAGCCGGCTCCCCATGAGCACCGGCTCCCATGGAGCCACCTGTCCCCACTCTGTGCTACTGCCTCTGATGGAGAGGCAGTAGCACTGGTGTGGGGGAGCAGGCAGGAACCAGTGCATAGGGGAAGTGGCTTTCATACCAGCTCCCCATGTGTATCGGCTCTCACGGAGCTGCCTGCCTCCTGTGCTGCTGCCTCTTTATCAGAGGCAGGGGGGCAGGCTGGAGGATCATGGAGAGCTGGCTCCCACCTGCCCCCCTATGTAAACATGTAACCACTAAAAAGTCCAGTGGTTACACAAATACATGACAGTTAACATCCCTAGCAAAAACAAATGGTATAAAGGTGGCTTTGATTTAAAGTCGTAAGTTCATGCATGTCCTACTGGGGTTGGACTTGAGCATTAACCTTGTTAAAATAAATTAATTTGCATAATGAGGAAAGGACAGAAGAGGTGACTTGGCCGAGCTCATATGACATCAAAAATCAGGCTGGATAACTGAGGGGAGAAAAGAATCCTTTTGCTGCCAGTTCTCTGCTTTTCATCCATTTCGCTCAGTTTCTGCCTATCAGCTTGGCTACATCTCTGGGCAGCAGAGGCAAACCCACAAGTGAGGAAGCCCAGCAAATGGGCAGGATCCTGAAATTGACATGATTGCTCCAGATTTTCAGCCCACCCAAACCCCTGCGACTACGAGTTGTCTCTCAGCCCTAAGAAACAGACAGCGCATGGTTCTCATTCTGCTTGGCTGCTCCCACCCAGAACTCCACCTCCAGATCCCAGCTCTCCACAGAGCATGGAGAGTTAAAAAGTTGGATATATGCTCCTCTCTCCTCCAAGGGGCGAAATCTTGTGAGACACATGAAACACCCAAGAATCAGCTTTAACATTAACACCAGGGTCAGTCAACATTTGCAGAGCTGGGAACTAATGCTAGGCTGATAAAACAACAGACAGGCCTCTATCTGCACAAGAGGCCTGGTTTTCAAAGGTCCTGGGAACCTGCATCTCCGACTGACTTTGATGTGATTTGAGGGCGCTTGAAAATCAAGCTACTATATTTAGATGCCTACATAGATGTAGGAGTCTAATTCTAAGCACCCACTCTAGACCCTCCCATGGTTGTGGACCTATTAGTAACAGGGATTTCTTAAGCAGCATCAGCAATGTGCCTATGGAGCAGTAAAGCACAGGGAGCAGAGCTGTCTTTAAAACCTTTCTGGGTAAAGTTTTACGGCGCGTGTGT